TGATAGATAATAATTATGCTTTTTTTTTAATTATCAACCCTTTTTTGCGTAATATGTTTTAAATTCAAATGATTTTAATTTATGATATTTAAATTTTATTTTATTATTATTTTGTAATCTTATGTCACAACTAAATTTTATTTTGATTTGCATTAAAATTGATTAAATGTTTTGAATGAAATTTAAAATGTTACTGAAATTTGTTTCATTTATTTTATGGACTCTAAAAATATAAAATATTTTTAGAGATCTCAAAGACCCTTGAACATTTACTGAGTGTCTAATAAATATAAAAAAAAAGTAATATAAATTGCTCATAAATGTTGAGTTTTAATCTTATTAAAACAGCCATATATTTACATATATGAAGGTTAATTAAAAATCTATCTGTCAAATGGAGTCAGATAATATCATCAACTGTTTTTTTACATAGTTTATGCATCATTATAGATTATTGATGTTTTTTATTGATTTAATTTATTTCCTTTGATATTGTGAGTATAAACAAATAACGTACAATAAAATTGAACTTTATTAACAGAAATATATATTTTTAAATGAGAATCTTGGTGATGACACAAATCATACATTTGTTCATCAAGAGCTCCTTGGCCTTCTCAGATCGATTGGAATCTTTGACTTTTCCCTGACTCCTTTATTCTGGATACCTTAATATAATAGATTCATTAATATCATAGTTCATCATAAGATCATAATGTGCTGGGCCCTAGAGAATTTCATTATGTAGTGTTCTCTGTTGTTTTAGTGTAAAACATTAATCTTAAATTATGTAGTGTTCTCTGTTGTTTAAAACATTAATCTTAAGGTGTATGAAATGACTATTTTTCACAAATAATTTACAAATCATTACTATGAAGTAGTGAAATAACATCTTTATTACTGTGAAGTACTGAAATACAATCATTACTATGAAGTAGTGAAATAACATCTTTATTACTGTGAAGTACTGAAATACAATCATTACTATGAAGTAGTGAAATAACATCTGCACATTTTTGTCCAAGATCATTCGCTTTTTTTCTTTACTGAATTAACATCTGTTCTACAACATCTGAAATTTCATTGACGTCTAATAACATCTTTAGAAAGATGTAACTACATCCAGGAGTTTTTTTCGATGTGTAACTACATCTGTCTAAAATAATGCATTATTAAATAAAATAAATTTACGGGCATAGTTACATCAGAAAAAAATCAGATGTGTAATTACATCTGGTTAAAATAATGCATTTTTAAATTATTTTTTTCGCAGATGTAGTTACATCCAAAAAAAATCAGATGTATAACTACATCTGGTTAATATAATACATTATTAAAAAATATTTTTTTCTGATGTAATTACATCCAAAAAATCTACAGATGTAATTGCATGAATGTTATATATCAATAAAATTTTGGATGTTGTTGGACAGATGTTATTAGACAAAGCAAAAATGGATGTTGTTACACTGACCCTTTTTTATGCGTCTTTCTTCAGTTTTTAAAACAAAATGTATGAGTAGTATCATTTATAATAAAAAGCTTACTAGCACCTACTGCGCTCAGGTGAGCTCATAAAATTTGGTTTTGAATTTTTATATGTATATGCGAGTGTAATTTAAAGGTAATCACATGTGCGGCTTAGTGCGGCTTGTGTAGGGGTAAGTGTTTAAAAAAAGCTTGCACATTTTAAGGTGTTTTATTGAAAAACATTTTAAAAAAATGAAAACATAAAAATAAACTTTCATATTTCTTCTTCCTATATGATGCTTATGGGTAATATTAATGATGTAAATTTTTCAGCAAACTTCGATTTAAAATTTACCAGGAAAATTTTAAATTAGAGAGGTAAATTTTCCCTCAAAAAAATTTTTTTTTTTGAAGATAAATAAAAATAAATAAAAAAATTTCAAAATTTACCAGGCTGTAAATTTTAAAAATTTTCTAGTAAATTTTACCAACACTAGCTAATATATGCTTTTTAGAAATTAAAATGTTGTATCTCATATTTCTTTTTTATATAAATTTTTTATTTTGACCAATATTAGGTAAAATATTGTCATTTTCGTTGGAAAATTGATATACTTATCTCAAAAATCATAGGAGGGAAAAAATTATAAGTTTTAAAGTGCTGAGGATCTCTAGATTACTTTTATAAAAAGAAATCACTTCAATTTATAAGTTATTTTAGAGGGGTTTTGCTCACCTCTGGTCCACTGTGCATAGTTAACACTTATTTTCAATCTTTTGTAAAAAATCGCTTTTTTAAAGTCTACCAGCTTCATATTTCGACTTTAGTTTTTTTTTAAAATTTTACTTATGTTTTTTAATTCTTTTTTTTTAATTGCTGAATATATTTTCATACTTTAAAATCCTTTTAATGTCTTTTATGTGATTAAATGGTTACACCTGTCTGATGCAATAAAAACTGATTATTACTGGCTTTATCAAATTACAACAAAACAAAAAGTCTGAAATATATCAGTTATGAGTTATGAATGTTTTCTTTACTTACTTTAGAGCAAAAAAAGACATGTTCCAGCACATATTCAAAGACCAGATTATGCTGATCAAAAAGAAGGTATAAAACAACCTACACAGATAAATATAAAAAAATATGATTATTTAGTTTAACTGTTATTATTATTTTTAGTTTTATAAAATCTACAAAAAATTATGATGCTAAAAAAGTTCTAAGGAGAATATGAATAATTATATAAAGTTAAATGGTTTTCATTAAGTATATTGACATAATAAATTAAAACAGTTGTATATATAAATATATAAATATTTTAAAATTATGCATTGTAAATTTACATTAACTATATACAGAGCCATGGCTGGGCTACCCCACACACCCTCTCTCCCATATAGGGAATATATAGAGAACCTATTTGCAAATTAAAAATTTATAATATGTGTAATTCTTTTATTCATCAGAAAATCAGCTTGCATATGATACATTTGAAAAAAAAATCATTTTTAAAGTATTTTATAATATTAAGAATTGATTAAAAATGTTTTTTAAGTAGTCATGTAAAATATTTGAATTGTAGGTAGTCATATATACAGGAAAAGTATTATATATAACTTGTTTGTTTTTATATTTTAAATAAAGTTTACATTTGTTTATTTAGCGCATTTTTTTAATGCGAAAGTTTTCAAAACATGCAAAGAACCGTAGCCAAGTTGTCAAAAAAAAAAAAAAATTATATGCGTGATCATATACGACATGTGACTACAAGCCTTTGTCCTAAGACGGCTTGGTTGTAGCGGTAGAATGCTTTATTGGTAAGCAAGGAGTTCCAACTTTGATCCCCAGCACGTTTAGTACTGTGCTTTATTTGTGTCTCTCTTTATAGTACTGTACTTTATTTGTGTCTCTGCACAGCAGCCTTGTTTGTGAAGGCTACCACTAACATACATAAAAATTAAATTATGATCTTTAAATATCTTTAAAGTTGTTTATACATTTGTAAAACTTTTATCTTTAAGTTTCTTATATATGTTGCTGTGGCATTAGCATAACCTTAATAAAGACTCATTCCTTAGCACATGTTTAGTACTAAATGTATTTTAGTAATATTTATGTGAAATTGCTTTAGATTCAATAAATATTTCATTGTTAATTGTACTTTATTTCAATAGTTTATAAATTATATTAACATAATACATATCAAATATTTACCTGCAGAAAATTATTTTAACAGTTCAACAACGGGATGATAAAAAAAATTGTTCAATATAAATTTTATCAATTCAGGCGGTAGCTTTTGAATTTTGTTTGCATTTCTGCCAACAATTTCTTGCCTACAGCAACATAACAAAAAATGCTTGTTTTGCCTTCATGAAAAACTTTGCATAATATCGTACAAAAGTACGCAAGAATCACTAAATAAAAAATTTAATAATATCTAAGTACTGGTACCAAAACAAGTTCTTGCTTAACAACAATGAGTCCAAAGATTGAAAAGCCAAACCACGCTCACAAATCGTTATAGTTTTATAATTGTTTTAGAATGTCACAATGTGTATTAAGAGTATATTTTTTTAATGAAAAAAACGATGTGTTTTTTACTTGATGATTGCTAAATGCATGAAACTTTTAGTATTAAAAATTATGTAATTATTTTTATTTAATCTTGTCAAAAAGTCAATTACATAGCTCTGATATCATTCATTGAGCACTTTTGCTGAATATATGCACACAACAAAATTAAATTTATATATATATACATATATATATATATATATATATATATATATATTATATATATATATATATATATATATATATATATATATATATATATATACATATATATATATTATATATATATATATATATATATATATATATATATATATATATATATATATATATATATATATATATATATATATATATATATATATATATATATATATATATATATATATATATATATATATATATATATATATATATAAAGGCCTCGCCCACACTCCCCTAAAACGGTTTACCAGAGCAATTTACAGTTCTCGCAAAAGTATAATTTCTCTCATGAAAGTAGAATTATCGTTGTAATTAAAACAAAAATGTTAAGAAGCGTTTCCCTATTTGAATTTTATGTACCTATTCGCAATTTCATATATGCGTTTTGCAATTTAGGTTACGCAAAAACTTTTTTCAATTAGTTTATTTTAAAACAGATTATGCGGAAAACATTAAGCTGTAATTAATTATTGTAAAAAATATTTGTGGAATTGGATAAAAATTTAAAAAATTGTGGAATTAGATTTTTGTTATTAGATAAAAAAAAAAGTTTTCTACTTCCGTTTTTAAAAAGTTTTTAATCTATATTTGTTTTTATTATATTTAAATTAAATTTATTATTAATCATAGTTTTAGTAATTTATTCTATTAAATTTAATTAAAATCCTTTTAAAAGTTTTAAAACGCTATGTTTTACAATTTTTTTTACTGATAAAATTTCCAAACTATGTTTAAGTAAAAAAAAAAATTAATAAATTTAATACAACTTTAAAAGGTTCGTATTACATATAACTTTATTTGAATTTTTTTAACAAAATTTTTTTCTTTATTACTAATTTTTTGAATTGATTATAGACTGAACGTCAATTAAAAATGATTAACTAGTTTATGAGTAGTATTTAAAGATTTTGTTAAAACCAAAATGTTAATAAAAAGGTTGACAAGTTTTTATTTATTTTTTGACCGTTATGTGATCTCTAAGTGCCAAGATATATTGGGTAGTCAGTAAAATGCGAACTTTTTTGTGAACCAAGACATTATATTTTACGGACCACTACGGTTTTGATATTTAAAAAAACTTATGCTCGTCAATTTTTTAATTTAAATTAAACATAGTGTAATTTGATATATTTTATTTAAATTAAATTGTATTTCTTTTAAATTAAATATAATTTATGTTTCTGCTTGAAGTCCATAAAGTATTAAAATAAACAATTTAACGGTAAATGGAAAATAAGCAATATTGCATTCTTAACAACCAATAGAACTATGTTTCGCAAAAAAGTTTGCATTTTACCGGTTCACAGTTCGCATTTTTCCGACTGCCGATAAATTATGTTCATGTCATAACAAATCCTTGAAAAATATGTTTCATGCTAATCAAACTTTCCAGAACAAATTATTTATCAAGATATCAAGGAAAAACTTTATAATTTTAAACGCCTTTTTTTTTTCTCGAAGGTAAGTTGATTAATGCGCTTTTGTAGTTATTAATTTTGACGTCAATACAAAAAAGTTCTTTCTAATTAGATTTAAAAATGTTATATTTGGGTTTTCCCTTTGCCGTTACAGTTAAATTTACGTAGAACAATTTCATTATTTTTTTATAAAACGAACCAAACTTCAAACCGGTTAAAAATAACGTGATCAATGAATAAACTCTTTAAAAGTTCAACTTGTATTTATTTTATTTTAAAAACAAAACTAATACTAGTACTTTAAATATAAGATACATAAATTTCAAAATTATACTGATGTTTGTTAAAAACTAGTCCAGCTAATAACATCTTAAAACTGAAAATACTATTTTATTTTTCGGGTTTAGTAAGAAATATCAGGTTTTCACGGTACATCATCAGGTTTCATGGTACATAAAAATAAAATATTTTAATGGAAATAAAAAAAAAACAAAGCAGAAAAGTGGTTATCTTTGTTTAGTTACAACTTTTATTTTATCAAAAGCCAGTTACTAAAATGCTTTAGGTAGCCCAAATGTTTTTTATAAAGGAGAAAACCCTTTCTAATTGTGTAGTTTTGTAGTACATGAAAATCCCTTTAAAAAAATCAACCATAAACCAGTGTCTCCTTATTAAAAAAAAAACATATATATATATAAAGAATAAACAAAAAAAAACAACCATAAAATAAATGTTTTAAAGAAAAAAAAATTAAGTTTAAATAAGTTTAAGATTTTAAAGTAAGGAAATTTTTTTCCTAATCAACATTTAAATTTTATTTATAATTTTTTTTTACAACAATATTGTTTAATTTAATTTTCATTTCAAAGACTTACAACAAATTTTAATGTGGTTTTGAATTTAATTACAATGAGGTATTTTAAAATACACAACTGGCGTATTTAAACTTTTAACAATGTAAATATCTTTATTGAATAAAGTTACATTTATTCCCTTTGCGCTTATTTGTTACGCAACAAAATCTCATAACAAGGCCTGATATATATATATATATATATATATATATATATATATATATATATATATATATATATATATATATATATATATATATATATATATATATATATATATATATATATATATATATATAGACAGTGGTGTATCCTCCATTTTTTTCCCAGTTGTCTTGCGGGCGACTGAAACAGTTTTGATTTCTAACTTAAGTTGTCCGCTATGATAATCAGTAATCCGATGTAAAAGTTTTTCTTTTGCATTTTTACTCAAGTGAAACTAATGATAATTTTTAAAATTTTAGTTTATTCAAAGCCATGTACTTTGTTTTTAAGGACCAAATTTTTATAAGTTTGTTAGGGAAAAAGCTATAAAAAACAAAATAAAAAAACTTACGACTGCATAAGTAACAACTTTCTAGTCACTAACTACATTATAAAAGAAATAAAACTTTAATAGTATTATTACTTTTATGAAGCACTTTTAACTTTTAAAGTTCGTTTTTTGTTCAAACAACATTAGTAATTCTAAACTTTAATAAAAGTACATAAGCATCTAGAAAATATTAAGTGGATATTCAAATATTATTAAAAACATAGGAACTTTTACAAATACGTAATGCCAAACTTTTAAAAAAAGTTTGGCATTACAAAAAACATTTCTAATAGTCCGTAAAAATGCTTAATTTTAAAATCAACCAATAAAAAGTTTTTATTAGTTGATTTTAAAATGAACCTGAGTTTTTACAGACCATTAGTAAGGTTTTTCATAATGCTAAACTTTTTATACAGTAGGTTTTTATAAAGTTCCTTA